AAGAAAAGCAAAGGAGAGATCACATCAGAGCCAAATCTCACTAACCCCTCCCCTTATCAGTGACTTAACTCCAAAAATTTCCGCAGCCAGCCAGCCTAACACAGGATGAAAAGCAGTTTAATGCTGCTTTTGTGTTCTCTCAAAATTTCACCCCCAAATCCAAGCTGCCAAGCATAATTTAAGAACATCCATTTCTCTTCAAAATCTGTTTCTTTTTTATTATTAAAATACCCTAAGCTGGGCATGGTGGCGAATGCCTGTAATCCCAGCACTCGAGAGGCTGAAGCAGGAGGACTGCTGCAAGTTTGAGACCAGCCTGAGCTATAAAGTGAGCTCAAGGCCAGCCTGAACTGCATAGCGAGACCCTGTCTCAAAAAGACAAAAAATAAATGTATAAAATAAAATGCCCTAAAAGAAATCTGAAGTTCAAGTTCATTATCTCTGGAAGCAAAAGGCAAACAGCAAGAGAATGTGAAACACAGTTGTCTCGGGTATCCTTGCATCTATCTCTGAGGGGTCAAGCAACTGCTTCCAACGTTTAGTTACGACTTCAGAGACTCTTACAGGAGACACATGACACTCTGGCCCCCCCTGCACCTCCAGATGCCAGATGCCAGATGCCCAGGCACTAAACAGAACGGCTGAAGCTCTAGAGCACATGCTACTCAACGGACATGAAGATAAAACCCCATCTCAAGTCCCAGTGCCACGAAGAAGGGGTCTGCACAGCAGGGCTGTATTTGGAAGCCCCTCTGAATCCCAGACACCGTAAAAGATGCAGGATCAGGACTGTGTACTGTTTATTCTATGCGTCCTGGAAGAACAGAGGAGGAAGAACAGAGTAGCAGTCTAGCTGTTTAAAAAAGCACATTAATGCTGGCCATAGTAGCACAGGCCTATAATCCCAGCACTCAGGAGGCTGAGGCAGGAGGACCGTTTGGAGTTCAAGACCAGCCTAGGCTACAAAGTGAGCTCAAAGCCAGCCTGAACTGCAGAGCGAGACCCTGTCTCAAAAAATTAAATAAGTAAAAATTTAAAAATTTTTCAAGAGGAACATTTATCAATAAAAAAATTAATCATCTACTATGTACCAGCATTATAAAATGGTAACTAGCTTTATTTCTACTTTACAGATAAATTACTCACAAAGCTGACATGAATTGTCAAGGCTTCCTGCAAACAGGAAGAGCAGAGATTTGAACCCAGCCCTGAAAAAACCAATTCTGCAACTGGAACTATTCTTTTAGGGAAGAATGAACACTGCCCTGGTCCGACAAGAACCAACCTTCCCACACTCAGAAGCAAAGACAATACTCCAAATACCTCAAACACTTAGAAGAAAACAGAAAGAAGGGTAGAGAGTGTGTGACCACACACATACATTATCCCACAAATATTTACGTATTGTCTTTATTTCCCACATGAGGAGCATTTCTACTAACCCTCCACAGAAGGCCTGGGAGCATTACTTCACGCTGGCTGCAAATGCGACTTGTGCAGTGGTTCCTATTTTAACAAAGTACACGCAGAAGGATTTGGAAGGTGCTACAGAGAGGAAAAAAACTTCCCCCTCCCTCCTCTAGCTAACTTTTTAACTTCTCTCTAATGGCGCAGGAGCCAGCAGTACCCCATCCGCCAGACACACAGGATTCTTCATGGGAATTCCAACTCCAGCTCAGCGGAGGCCTCTGCAAGTGAGATGCAAGGCTCCAGCCCCAGATGTGGGTATTTGCAAACTTTGTTGCTGGGTTAGGACTATTCCCATGGGGCCCTTAGGGTAGGAGCAACAAGCGTAAACGGCCACACAGGCCACTTATCACCGAAGACAGGAGGAAAACTCCAGAGAAAACACAGGGGCAAGAAGTCTCAGCAGCCCCTGGGAAAGGAAGGGCAAAGAGGCCCAGAGGCGGCCAGGCCAGGAGGGAGGAGTCCACTCTACCCATGCACCCCGGGCCCTGCCGCTGGGCAGGTTCCCACCCAGAGCCAGTCGGGAGGAAGCGCTGTCAGGCAGGGCACTCTGCCGCCTGTCGTGTTAAGGGTTAGTGACATCTACAGCAAAAGGTACCTGACTAGTTCCTGGAGAGAATAAGGCAGAACTTCTCCCTTCTGAGGAGAAAGCAGTGCTAGAAAAACCATGCCACATCCCAATTTCTGGAGAAATGTGAGTCTCTCAGAGGAAGCCTTCCTATTAGTAATTATCAAAACCCGTACAGTTCCACACAGAAGAAGGGACAGTAGACCTCCTGTCAGCAGTGTCTCTGACTCCCCGCAAAGGACCTGCGGGTCACCAGCGCGAGAGGGGCTGCCTCCTCCGATCTCACATTCAGTGGGCCCTGTTTCCTTGGCTTTTCCCCAAGCACAACCTCACAGCAACGGGGTACCACCCCCACACGGAGCTGCAAAAGGCAGCCATCCTCGCCTAAGTGATACTTTTACTTCAGATGTTACACACACGCCTGCCCTCCTTGTACCAGAAGGCCCTTTCCCCCATCTGTCTGCGATGATGATCCAATCTTGGTGCTTTCATCACTGATGCTTTCAGAACTTTGCTCCGCTTCCCCTACTGTAATTACTTTTGAGTCATCAACGCACCCAGACAGCTTTAAGGCTCAGGGCACAGAATGCTCAAAATGAAAAAAAAAAAGAAAAAGATCTGCAATCGAAAACAATTTCACTAAAAAGCCACCCATCTTAGAAACAATTCTTCCCAGAAACTTACTTCTTAATAAACTGCCTTACACTTCTTTCCTCTAAAAAGGCAGGGCTTAGGGACGGGATGAGGCAGAGAGGGTGGGGACAGAACTCCTGAAGGAGCTAATTAAAACACGGGCTCGCTCCCTCCCTGTGGTTTTTGTTTGGAGACGCAGACTGTGTTTGCAATGATGCAGCACTCAGAGTTGGCCTGGAGGCTGCTGCGTGCCCAGGAAGCCCAGGCACCGAGTTTGTCCTCTCTGGAATGCAACTGAATTACAACGGAGGGGAGGGAGAGACCCATCCAGGGGCTGCTGGTTTAAGAATTCAGATTCCTCCAGGCCTAAGTTTGAAAGATAAACCACACTCCCAAAAAGAAAATGAAAACGTTAACCTCAAGAAGATCCAACCGACCGACGCTGTCAAGAAGTCGCCAGACTTTCTGCTGATCTCAGTTCTGCTACTGCCTGACGCCGGCCCTGGTGGACGCAACTTCCAGCCCTGCTCTTTCAGTGGCCGCTTCGCAGCCCAGCCCTCCTTGCTTCCGGCGGCATGGGCCCCCCTACACAAGCCGCCCTCAGGACCCACCGGCGCAGCCCCCTCGTGTTTCCTGCGCAGGCAGACGTCTCCACCTCTCGCTCTGAAGGTCTTTTTCCAGGAGGAGGTGGGGAAGACTGGGACAAGTCCAGCAGTGAGTTACACACACAGGGCAGCCTCTTTCCCAGCTCTCAGCACAGCCGGACAGCCAGAGGAGGCAGCTAAGTTGCTGCCTGGGTCACACCGGCCTGCTGGGTCACCCTGGCCCACCAGCGCTCCTGCAGGAGGTCGGGGAGGCCTTCTGCGGGTTGTGGTCTGCGTAGGAACAGCTCCATCCCTGCCTGGCCGGGGGAGTCAGGAGGCGTACCCTACCCACCCCATTCCACCGAGGGAATTCCACAGAGGCTGACACACCACCCCAGCTGTTTTGCCCCTAGCAAGTTGGGGGAGTTCTGGGGAACGTGAACTCCGCCAAGGAATAAGTGACCCGCTGGCTCCCGAAGCCGAGTGGAAGGGTGGCAGCGGGGGTACGGGGCGACACAAGAGGCCCTGCGGCGGCCGCCCACCAGGCTGCAGGCCTTGCTACATTTAATCGCAGCACGGGCCCTTCACACCTCTTGGAAGGGGACCCAGAGGCGCAGGAGCAGATCTTATCCCAGGAACGCGCTCACTGCCCGCCTTGGGGGCCAAGTGGACCCACGTCCTGGGAGCTGTCCAGAAAAAAACCGAGGTCAGTCCTCGCTCCCAACGGAAATTCTACCCGCTATTCTGGACACAGTCCCCTAGGCCACTAGGACGTGGGGGGAAGAGGAAGGAGTTTCGGGGCCGCCCCCAGATCCCAAACTAAGCGTCCGATCCGCGGACCCAGCCTCCACCCCGCCCCCGCGGGAGGCAGGGTCTCCCCGCGCCGGGGCTCCGAGCCCCCCGGGGCCGGCCGCGGGAGGGGGGCCGCCTCTCCTCCGGACGCGCAGGAAGGCGGGGGCTGCGAGGCGCCGTCCACGGCCAACTCGCACTTTTTCGCTGCGCGATTCAGAAACACGCCGGGTCTGATGCCATCCGGCGAATTATGTAACCAGGGACACCGCTCGTGGGCTAAACAAACGCGGCTCTGT